ATTGGCAATGAATTGAGTCCAGAGGATATGGCAAAGGCAGAAAAGACAATTATTTGCTTTGTTCAGAATCAGAGATTTCCAAGAGAGATGGCATGATTGACAACTGGTGCCACATATGTTAGCAAAGAAAGTCAGCTGTACAGACTAGATCCAGTTTTGGATGATGGACTTTTGCGAGTAGGAGAACGTCTGAGTAAGTCAGCATTGCCAGAAGAAGCAAAACATCCTGTGATCCTTTCAAAGGATCTTCATGTATCAACGCTTCTGTTACGTCATATTCATCAAAGACTGGGACATGCAGGAAGAAATCAAATGCTCAGTCACCTTAGAAAAGATACTGGATAATAAGTGCAAATGCAGCTGCTAGGAAAATCATATCAGATTGTGTCATATACAAATGTCAGCGCGGAAAGATTGCTGATCAAAAAATGGCAGATTTGCCAAAGGAAAGAGTTCTTCCCAATGAACCACCGTTCACCCATGTGGGATTGGATTATTTTGGACCTTTTGAAGTTAAGAGGGAGGAGTCTGTGCAAAAGATATGGAGTCATTTTACCAGCAGTTAAGAAGAAATGCAATAGAAACCTTGTTGCTTGCTCAAACTGTGGAATAAACCTTGTAAACGACAATAAACCTCTGGACATTTTTTCAGTTGCTGCGTAAGCCTGTGGTCTAAAGTGGTTTTGGTATGCAAGTTTGCCACCACTAACACGCTGCCTTTGATACCATTGACCAAAAAATACTCATAGACAGGCTTGAGAGCTGGATTGGACTCTCAGGAACTGTCCTAAAATGGTTCAGTTCACACCTGCAAGGAGTAGACTACTAGGTTCAAATAGAAAATAATGTTTTTGAGAGAGTGCCACTGACGTGTGTTGTCCCCCAGGGTTCAGTTATTGGGCAGCTCTTATTACATTTATACATGCTTCCTCTTGGCCAAATACCACAACAGTACGGGCTATCTTACCACGGCTATGCAGATGATAATCAGGTTTACTTGGCCCGCTCCCCAAATAACTATGGTCCCATTGACTCACTTTGTAAGTGCCTTGAGCACATCACTAACTGGATGGGACAAAAGATAGAACAGATCTAGATTTGTTTTACTGCCTATCTAGATTTGAGAGAAAAATCTAAAGAACTAGCATATAACCTTGATGTCCTCATGGACTAATGATCTCAGTTTTAGTAGTCATCTCAAAGCAGTTACTAAATCAGCATTTTGTCACCTTAAGAACATCAACAAGATTAGAGATTTTCTGATTAAGCCAGACATGGAGAAACTCTTAAACTTTTATTTCTAGCAGGATTGATTATTGTAATGGTCTCCTAACTGGACGCCCAAAAACGACAAACAGTTTTAGTTGATACAAAATGCAGTTGCCAGAGTTAAAAGAAGGGAACACATCAACCCCATTCTTAAATCCTAACACTGGGTACCAGTAAGTTACAGAAGAGACTTTAAGGTACTACTACTGGTCTATAATCACTTAATGGTGTAGGACCAGCATATTAATCGGATATGCTGCAGCAATATGAGCTGAGCAGAACTCTGAGATCATTAGCAACTAGTCAGTCAGACAGTTGACAGAGAGGATTAGAAGAACCCTGACACTAGACACTTAAATCCGGGCTGAAAACGCTCCTATTCGAGTAGGCTTTCAACTCAGTTTAAAACACTGTTAGCTCTACTGCACTTCTCTGCTGTAACGGCACTAAACCTGAAAATTGAAATATTTTTAATCTTGTTTTAATCATGTTTTAATTTCTATTCTCCCTTATTTCATGTTAGTTTTTAAATGTTAATTTGCATTATCTTTGTATTTTCTCATTCGTAAAGCACTTTGAATGACAGCAGTGTATGAAAGGAGCTATATAAACAATAATTGTTATTATTATTATTATGTATTATTTATAGCTTTATCTTAGATTATTTTAGAAAAATGTCATATCTATGCGGTTCATTTATTTATATTTTTATGTAGACAATTAATGAGTGAAGAGTCTATTTCCCACTTTTTTAGTAATTGTTATTTTCCTGATTAATATGAATGAAGAAATAAACCTTTTCCACTCTTGCATGCCAAGTAAAGGACAGGGGTGGGAGAAGGGGCCCCCAAGTAGGATGTTGCTTATTGCCCCCAAATTTTCAGAAACAGCATTGTTCCATCCACTTTTATCTTACTGACTTTTTAACTTTGTTCTTCTCTCTGCTTTCTTCTCTCTTCTCTGTCTCTCACTCTCACTCTCTCTGTGCCAACTTACTTCACTGATAAACCTGACTGTTATTTTTAGTGAATTTTCCATGTAGTCGCACATTTTGACATCCTGCCCCAGATTACTGTAATACCTGGTTAGCGATTCATATTACAGTTGCCAAATTTGAGAACCAGCTACACTGACACAGACATGCCTGACATATTTTTAACAGCCTTCTCTTCTCTCCCAGCTTTAGCAGAACACATGACGCAGGGGAGCTAATTTTTAATTAAAGGATATGGACACAGAGGTATTAGGTGAAGTTATTAAATGTGATTTAGAAAAATGTTCTATTAGCTAAATCACGTCGCTCACTCACTCACACACTCACTCTCTCACTCACCCATTCATTCACTCACTCATTAATTTGCTTATTTACTCACCTCTCTATTTCCTGATCCCTCTTCCTCTCTCTGCCTGCTGATTCAACAGCAAATTACACTGTAAAAAAAATTCTGTAAATTTTACAGTAAATTACTGGAAGCACAGATGCCAGTACAGTTCTGAAAATTAACAGTGGATATACTGTAAATTTAATTTACAGCTTGATACTGTATTATTTTATTACAGTAAAATTATTGTATTTCCTTGACTACTGTACATTTTACAGTAATCTACTGATGTCACGCCTGCTAGAGACTTGTCTGATGTAACAGACTACATTTCCCAGGAGAACCTGGGAGGTCACGTGACGACAGACTTCCCAATGGAGTCGGCATCCCTTGTGGACCACATTACCCAGCAGCCAAGTGAAGATCATGTGACTAGTGATGATCGACCTCGCACCTATCAGCGTTCACAGTCACCTGAATACTGAGTGTTTTCACCTGTGTGTTTCAGTCATATGACCAATGTAGTTTAGTATTTTAGCCCGGGCTTTAGCGTAGGACCTTTGCAAGGTATTGTTTCTCTTGTGAACTTACTGAGCGTTTTCTTTGGTTTGCCTACTCTGTTTTTGACCCCGATCTCGTTTGTTTCTGACTACATTTTTGCCTGCTCCTTTTGTGCTTTTGCTTGTTTTTGGGATTTGTGATTTGGACCTTTTTGCCTGCCTTTTGTCTCGCCCCTTGGACTTGTTTGCTTGTGGTAATGATCACTTGTGTGATCATTTATTGCTTTTTGGTTTTGACCCCTGCCTGTACCTCGACTACGACTTTGACCATTGTTAATAAAGCCTGTGCTCTTACTTTTATCCGCACGCATCTGAACCTTGCTGCCTGGTTACAACTGATGGCATACACCAGTACAGTACTGGAAATTTACAGTAGCTGAACTGTAACTTCTTTTATTCACTGATTTTTACTGTATTATTTTATTACAGCATTTGTTTTCCTACTGTGAATTTTACAGTAATTTACTGGCATCACAGATGCCAGCACAATACTGTAAATTTACAGTTTCTAATTTAAATTTACATTGTGCTACAGTATAACCTTATTACAGTATAATTACTGCATTGGCTTGCCTTTTACAGCACTTTACTGTCTGGGTATTATTGTAATCTTACATAATCTAGTAATTTTAAGAGGCTGTTACTGTATACATATTTTAAGGCAAATTACTGGCACCAAGATATGACATTACTCAAAAACTCCAACTTCACAGTTGTGCTTTATTTATTTAAATCATGTATCTACAGTGATACATATTTAAAGGCTTTGGATCTGGAATAATAATATCAAAAAACAGAAAACAACTGAGACAAAAAAAAAAAAACTGAAAAAACTGAGCTCAACAATAGCCCACTCACACTAACAATATGGGCAATAGCAACTGAAAATTCCTTCTTTGATTTTCATACAGGTCTGTCCTGTCCTCATTGGAGCCTGAAAATAATAGACAAGAATACACAATAATAAAAAAAATCTTTTCTTGAATATCAAATAGTCCAAATCGTTTCAGTACAACTACATCGCCAGCACTTCTCTTAAACAGCATACCTTAATTTCAGTCTATTTAGGACAAAGTATAAATCACTAACCTATAGAAGTGAATAAAAACTTTTTACACCATGCATTTGAAGCACTTACAAACCACCTCAGGAGGAGGAGCACTGATCTAGAACCAGTTTTAGTGACAATGAGCATCATAAATAGAGGAATCATAATTTTGGTCCTCTAATTTACTAACTCTTCTGTAAAAAACAATCCTGCCAATATCACTGCCTATACTTTTATAGTTCACAGTGAGCTATACTCCTTTATACTGTCCTTTATGAAGTCTACTATTTTTCCTTATTGGTTATGCTCCTTTTTTAGTTATGCTTTGCTTTTCTGTGTTTACACTCCTCTTTTTGATTTATGCTCCTCACTTTTTTTTTAATTTACGCTCTGCATTGCTGTTTACGCTCCTCTGTTTTTGATGTTTTTATGCTCTGCTTTTCTGTGTTTATGCTCCTCTTTTTTCTGTGATGTGGGGGGTGGGGAAACAAGAGTGAGGTGTGCCCTGAGAAGAAGGCGTGTTGTGTACATTTCATATCATCAGCTGGAGCCAACTTCAAAGCCTGACAACACAACAGGGTTGAATGCTTATAGCAACCGAATGTATCAGTTAATTCATCTTAAATACAGTATATGGCCAAAGTTAGTGGACACCAGCTCATCCGCAGCAAACAAGTTGTTCATTCCATCTCAGGATAAAATGTTTCACTCCTGTGTCCCAGCCCCCTGGATTAGAAATGGGTCTAAACTAAAGCACAAAGAAAGGAGCACAAACAAAAAGGAGAGTAAAGTGAATAAATAAGTAGCAACAGGTACCTCAGATGAAGTCCCACTCAAATTCTGTAAGCTTCTTCATCAGGGAACAAACATGTGGATTGATGGCCAAAGCCTTTTTCTGAACTAGCTGCCCAGTTCTCTTGCGTATTACTTTGCCTCTGCCTGCCTTTGATCCTCTCTCTGGGTTGATCCTGAAGAAATTTCTGGAAAAAAGAAAGAAATAACATGCACTATTATCAACTAAAAATAAAAAAAACAGAACACCTTGGAGCTTATATATCATCACTGTCCAAAGAAAAGCATGTATCTCCATTTTTGTGGATTTTTAGCTTACTACATCAATTGAACATAGCAGCTGCCCTTCACATTCTGTGAACATTTCATGATGAATAGACCAATAGAAATGCTCTAAACTTACTTGGAATAAAATCTTTTTACATTGACTCCCATTGAAAGTTAAGAAGTTTTTTTCTTCTCTTATAAAATTACTATTTTGGACAGCGACTATATGCTTATTGATGTTACATTCAGTATTTACATGTTGACATGTAAATGATAACATCGAAGTAGACAGACAAAGTTTAGACCAGATATTCAATTGTTTTCAAGGAAGCAGCGATAAACAATTCTGCTGGCAGCCTTCTGCAGCAGTTAGCAAGACTGAGAGTTCAATTTTTCTAAATTTTGCTGCAGAAGTATAAATTTGAAGTTGATGTAAACAAAGCCAAAGTTTCTTAACAGTACATTATTATTCTGATTGTATCCATCCATTTTGTTGCTGGCCATCCTATTCCTTTTTTACTTTTAACTCTTCCAAGCCTAACTGTCTATTCTAGTAAACTGGTTGTTCTCATAATGTATCAAAAATAAGAGAGGTTATTTGGTATTTGAGAGAAATGTGAGGTTTCATTTGGTTGAAAATTTAATTCTTTGTTTTCTTTGTCATCTGAGGTTCACTAAAATTCGAAGGCATCAATATTCTTTCTGTCCCACTTTGTAAATGTCCAGCTTTTACGTCCATAACAACAGAGAAGACCTTAGTCTGGACAGATCTGATCTTTGAAAAGACAAATCATTACATTTCAGAGTCAGAGTCAGAATTTTCACAGTGGTAGTAACAGGAACCAGACAGCCAAAGCCTATAATCTTTCTTAAATTAACATCACCAAGGCGTATTACAAGAAATCATTACAAAATCATTTGACTTTCTGTAAAGCTTAATGATTTAATTATGCAGAAATTTTACTAAATCTGTAGAATTCCCATTTTTAAATGAGTTAACTTTTTGTTAACAAGTTGCTTTATGTGCAACACACACTAACACACCACCATCACGTCAGTGTCACTGCAGCACTGAGAATAACCCACCATCTAAATAATACCTGCTCTGTGGTGGTCCTGTGGGGGTCCTGACCATTGTATACAGAGCAACTGATGGACTACAGTCTGTAATTGTAGAACTACAAAGTGCTCCTTTATGGTGAGTGGAGCTGATAAAGTGGACAGTGAGGGCAGAAACAAGAGGGGTCATAATGTTATGGCTGATGAGTGTATATAGACATACTAGGTGTACAAATAAGTTTTGAAGTGTTTTTTTGTGTAATGCATTATTGTAATTCAAAATTCAAATATTCTCCTTATTATTCCTTTGTCATTTTATGGTAACTGTTGCATAGTATTAAATGACAATTGTCATTTTATTCAACAAAAAATAACCTAGAAATTTAGCGAGAAAGAATTTATTGGTCACTGCATTCGTTATGAGTTCCATCAAGGAAAAAGCGCTAGAAAAGCATGTGCATTGATTCATTCTGTTCTTGGGGATAATACTGTATCCAAAAGTACGTGTGAGTTTTGGTTTTGTTGATTTAAAGATGGTGATTGCAATGTTAGCGATCGTGAACATATAGTGTATTAATACTTAATTTTTAGGTTTTTTTTTTTAATAAAATGGCAACAGAGCAGGAGAATGTTTGAATTTTGAATTATAATTATACGTTACACAAAAACGCTTTAAAACTTATTTGTACACCTAGTAATTTGAATGGTAATTACCATATTTTTACCTTTGTATGAATTCAAGAGTACAGGCAGCACCCTCTTGATACTGGAGGTTAAAGTTGTAATAGCACACAAAGAGTGCTGCCAGTCCAGATGAAAATGTGGGCTGCACCCCTTCACACACCACCTGGCCTTCAATTCCAACCATCCATTTCTGTCCACTAAGCCTTTCACCTAAAAGCAACAAAATTGATTAATTCATTCATTAACTCAAACATAACTTCTTAGCATGTCCTTGCAAGATAATGAGTCTGCCATACCAAGAATGATCAACCGTGGGCTCTCTGCCAGGTCAAGGGTCCTTTCAATGTTAGCAGCACTAGCTGTCTCCTGCAAGATAAAAACACAATGCAAAAAAGCAGTGTCTGTAAACAAACTGAGTGGTGACCAGACATACAGCCTAGTTTTTAATGTGTAAAGAAATTCTTTATGCCAAAGAGTCTAGCCGCACTAAGGGATACAATAAACTAAAAATATTAAAACGGGAAGTTCACCTTATTTCACATTTGAGCACAATTTACCCATCTCTGCATGCTAACTAATTTGTCAATAAACAGAAAACATACATTTTATAAAATTAAAATCCTCCAAGTGTTGATAATATAACAATATACCAACCCACAACAACAAACACTCAGTCTCATGTACAGTCTTATATTGTAGATGCTTTTGGAAATCATCAGTCATCAAATCAATTTTGTGTACAGAGCTGGGCAAGTTGTGCTTGAAACAAAAAACGTAAACTACCCCTCTAAGTAACAGGTTCAGTTGTCAGGCTAAATTAAAGAAAAAACAACACTGGATATCAAATGGCTGTATAAAGATTATTTAACTTTATCCCAACTTAAAATGCATTAGGTACCTCTGTCTTAAGTATGAGGTCCTCTGTTTTTTCCTTAAAATGTGCCATGAGCAGTTCAATGATGAGAGCTGCAACCTCTTCTTCTCCATGTGTGCCAAGGACTTTCTTAACAACATCATTGGTTGCTTTGCTCTTGAAGTAGTCAATAATTAGTCTGCCTCTTTCCTCAACTGCTTGCTCCATTTTTCTGATGGGGACACCGGTAAGCAGCTCAAAATGTGAATATAAAGACTTCTGCACAAATAACAACGGCCACTGTGCTCGGAGATCTCTTATGGCAGGAGCTGGATCAGCATTAATTGTCCTACGCTGCAAGCAGTAGGTGCTCTTCAGGAGACTGTCGACTTCAGCTTTATCAGCAGCAGCTGAACCACACTCTGAATGAAGTTCAGCCATCCGTAGCCTCTTCTCTTCCATCCCTGCTTCTGTTTCCTCTGGGGGAATTTCTGGTTGCCACCGTAAACATCCGTAACTGTCCACTGGTCTTCTCTTGAGTGTAAGAGATTCATTATCTCACTTTGGAGCTCTGCGCTTTGCAAGGGTGTTGCCCCTGTTAACATGTTCTACACGAACCTTGAGTTGTGTCAACAGTGATTCATAACCACTTCCCATCATTGTCTTGCCATCATCCAAGGAGTCAGCAAAGCTTTTCGGGTACTGTTGAATAATACTGTGAGCAATTATCTTGCACTGAGACCTTGTGGGGTTAGCCTTTGACTTCCTCAGTTCATCCACAATAATCCGAATCATCTGGCGATGATCAGTATGACTGGGTCGTCTTTCTTTACCAGTGGCAGCTTGTAAGGAAGAGGGCATTTTCTCCCAAGGGATAACAAAGCTTTCAGGCCAGGTTATGGATGAAGATGTGGTTGAAGAACTTGAGCTTGGAGGAGATGAGCTGGTTATGACTGGACGAACTGGGGTGCTGCACTGTGGTACTAAGTATACAAACAAAAAAATTCAATTAAGAGTTCCTTCTTATAATGAGATATTGATAAACAAGAGGAATAATTCTATACAAAAAAACACTGTCCATTTAATGACATTTACATTCACTTAATGTACTATAACATACTATCAGCTCTACCTTGTTTCCAAACTGCGAGCAGCTTGCGGCACTGTATTGGCCGTACAAACTCCAAAATGTCCTCCTCTCTCACAAAAGCCAAATCGTCTGTACTTTCTTGTCCCTGGCCTATCAACTTTTCAACCATTCGGCAGAGGGTTCCTTCTGGAAGATTAGGGAGGACTGAGATGATAGCCTCCTTAATCAGTCTGGTCAATTCTGACATGTCTATAAGGAGAGATGGGAGTGATGCAAGACAATTACAGGTAAGCCACATAAGGTATAGCTGGACACAGGATAGTAATCCAACAGACTGCACTGACTTACACAAACGTATGGTTCCTGTTGAGCAATAACATAATGAACACCTTGATCGGTAAGACAATTTGTCTGATGCAGATCCACAAGAAAATTTACATCAGAATTGTTGTGAATTAATATCAACTCTATTTTTCCAACCACTAGACCCTGGTCATTTTGATTAAGAGCAACAAACATGTTCTTCTTATACTGTGTACCTTTCACAAACACCTCATATGTAGCTAAAGTGTTTCCCAGCTGGAAATGATCACCTACACAATCCTTGATTTTGTCACTGTAATCATTCGGGTAAAAGTTTGTCCCCCTTTCTGCAACAACTTCAGGTGGAAAGAAATTACCAGCGCTTAAATAAGCTTGCAGAAGCTGATGCCGGTCAGCTAAAGTAACACACAAGTTTTTGAAGTTGTGTAGTCTTCTGGCACACTGTTTAAAGTATGTGTGCTTACTCTCAAACCTTAACGTCCATAGGCGAGTGAGAGGCCCAAAGCGAGTAATTAGTTACGGATAATGGCAAAGGTAGTGATGCTTTGGCTTCAGTGGATGTTTAGGGAATGCTTTTGAACGAGAATCTATGTATTCACTTATCAAAACTGACAAATAAGCAATCTGCCCCATTGAGATGGCAGGAGCACAAATCATTTTTACAATTTGCCTAAGCTGAAGTACCAGTTGCCATACCTCATTTTCTGATGGATCTTTAATCATGTCACCAACTAACAGTGGAATAAGCCTAAGCAAACACCAGTTTTGGACAGCATGTCCACTGAGTTTCTCAGATCCTGCATGCACTTCATTCGGTTTGTCATTTGCATCGTTCCCAAAGTATTTAAAATGACTAATATGCTGGTTTAACATGGTGTATGTGAAGTGCTTCTCTGCCACTAAACGGCTGATGTATAAGGCAACATCAGAGGACACTACACCTTCAAAGAGATCATCCACCAATTTGCCAAACACTAGGTTCTGACCAAAGAATTTAATATCCTGCTCTTTACGTAATAGCACAAGCTGCATTTGATCTATGCTAGATCTATTATGGGGCAAAATGTCTCCAAGAGTCATATAAACAGCTAGAATCTTATGCTTTTTTTCCCCTGATTCAAGTGGATTGGCCACTTCAAAAGCATCTTGATACAGTATCAAGCTCAAAGAATCTGGATTAGCTTTCAAGTGGGAATTCTCTGTCATATTGCTCCCATCCCAAATATCCTGAAAAACATCTTTTATCTGCCTTTGGGAATGAGTTTTCTCATGCTGCTCTCTAACTGACACACAGTTAAAGAGTGACTCCAATGTATCTTTGACTGGAATATACCGAGCATAACATTCTTTACCCAAGTCGTTTTTTCCCGAGGTATACTGGCTTGGCTCAACATACCTGAAATTCTCCTTGAATATGGTCTTCCTCCTCTGGTCTGTCTTCAGCACTGTGTTGCACTGACTGAGCAGATCTTCTGATTTAAGAACATCAATGATTTTGTTAATCTCACATTCCAAAATTCCAACTTCACTCAACTTTTCAGACAATTTATGAAAAATATTTGACTGGCTTACATCATGAATATTCTGATAATCTTCAATAATTGTCTGAATGACTGAAGCTGGAAGTAACAACTTAGCTTGCAATTTGAGATAGAATAAAGCTAGATTGTTTAAAAAACAAAACTTCATCTGCCTTATCTGGCACAACATTTGACAGTTCTTCAGCAAAAATGTCATCATCAGTAATAATAGCCTCTAATTGTTCATTGTCAGCTTGAGATGAAGTAGATTTACAAGGGTTTGAAACATGCCTCTCTACTACAGCTTCAATCAGACTGTTCACTGAGCTTTTTTTGTGGTTTCTCGACAAATGTGAGGTAAATGTTGATATCACAGAGAATGTTTTGTTACACTGACTAAAAGGACAGGATACTACTTTGCCTTCTTTAATGTGACATTTCAAATGTAAAAACAGTTTGCATAAATCATCACACCTGAAAGGGCAAAAGTCAACATGGCAAAGCAATGTGTCCCTATTAATGAACTCAATGTTTCTGTTAGACTTCTCTCCAAACCGTCTTTTGTGGTCTCTATACAGGTGTGATTTTAGGGCGCGGAATTTTCTAAAGCCACGGCTACAGTCTGGAACACAACACTGAAAATTTGCATTTGGAACATGGCTATGAATTTTCATGTGCCGAGTGAAAGCCACTATGGCATCAAATGACTGAGGATAAAACTGACACTGAAGCATTGTCACAGAACTTAAAAAAACAAATAGAACTTTTTTTTTTTCTCTTAACAGAACTAATCTTAGTCCACACAATGCACTCAATATAAAAAAAACTGATGGCACTCTTTATCTATCCTCAAAATACAATTAGTGATAGAAGTCTACAAAAAATAAATTAATAGGAAAAACACTGTAGAAAAAAAGTTTTTAAACTCCTGATTTTAAACTACTGGTTCTGTTATTAAATGCACGTAGACAGAGACTAAATGTTCATTTGAACTGTTGTGATAAAGAAATGAGCTAATGTTAAACAATAAATGGAAAGGCAAATCTTAAAGACGTTATATCCAACAAGCTTAACTGAAAGGTTAGATCCAAAAACTAGTTAAGACACTCTACAGAGCATTAACGTCACCTTACTTAACACTTCGTGCACCCACCCTTAACTGTACAATGCAGGCCACGGTATTTAAACGCTCATTCTCTAAAAATACAGACCTAATATTTAGTAGTAAATAACCAGTGAAACGTCATCAAACCACACCTGCAGCAGACTAAGAAGCGAACTACAGTCCCAAATCTGCCAAGCAGTAATAAACGCACTCACAAAATGGCGCGCTTTTCAAAAAATGCCAGACCCAACACTTCTTACAGACACAAATATTTACAAAAAAACCCCACCGTGGAATGTCCTGCACTAACAAACACCTTAAATGACATATTCGTTCTACTGACTTCGCCTTAATGGAAGGGACTAAAGCAAGGAATAAGTTAACCTACAAAACAGAGCCCCAAAATGCACATCATGGGTGTCACAGTAGCTAAATAAACACAGCTAATGTCACTGAACCTACATGAACTCGCACGACTGCAATTTCCGATTATCATCAGTAATGTTAGCTAACTAACGCTAGCTATTTTGTAGATAAATAAAGTGCACGTCAGGCATGTTCATTAACTCACTTTCTGTATTTTTCTTTCTGAATCTGTCGTCTGAGCACTGCAGATAGGACGGAGCGGGCTTGCTGAAGCCTCGCCGCTGGCCAAGCTCTGCCTCCTGAGTCGAGGCTGGGGCCGCTTCTTCGGCTCGTTGCCTCGCCGGGAAGGCGGTGTACGGCCAGCGGCGAGGCCTTAGCAAGCTTACTAAGGTAGCATGATGAACACCTGCTAGCTAATGTTCGGGAGGTTAAAAGGATATAAAACAAGCGAACAGCACCACATTTCTCTCATAAAACGAGACTTAATCATTAACGCACCTACAACAAGAATAATAATTTACTCACCTTTGAGTCCGTGTGAAACGTAGCTGGCAGTCTGAGGCGATTTCAGAAAAAATGTCACGCGCTCACGTTCCAAATAATCAGAGAAGTGCTGCGTTAGGCACACACGCACACACACACACACACACACACACACACACACACACACATATATATATATATATATATATATATATGTATATATGTATATATGTATGTATGTATATATATATATATATATATATATATATATATATACTGCGATGGACTGGCGACCTGTCCAGGGTGTATCCTGCCTTCCGCCCAATGACAGCTGGGATAGGCTCCAGCACCCCACCGCGACCCAGAAGGATAAGCGGTTTAGATGATGTATGTATATATATACAGTGACATACAATTCAGAATATCTGAAGCTCAAGTGTTTTTCACTTGTGTCAGTGTAGCAAAACTCTGAACACATTTAACTGCATACACACATTTTGCATACATTTTGCACACTAAACACAGTTCTCCACCTCTAATCACAAGTTTCATGGTAATCTTTTATGAAATCTTTTCAAAGATGAAGGCATGGAATGCATACATTTGTAAATTTTACAAAGTTACAAAGCTCAGAGTGCAGGGGGCAAACATTACAGAGCTCTTCTCTACATCCCTGTATGAATGAGAGAATGAGGAAAAAAATAAGTAGAGATAGACGTGAGTGTCTAATAAAGCATGTATGCATGTTGTACTTTAGGGAGTAAAACCACAGTTAGTTTATTTATTTATTTATTTTATTTAGATTATACAAGTGGTTTTTGCACAATTGAACACCTGTGTTAGCAAGGGGTCCACCTTAAAGTAGCTAATTTTACTAATTAGAGGCGTCTGGATACTTTTGGGCATGAAGTTTGCGGTGCTGTATACGACCACTTAAGAGTTACTAATTTCGACGGTTTTTAATGGAGCTTATTGCATGTATATAACCTGCAAGAAAGCAACGACAACAACAATGACGACGACAGATGCTTTTTCGTTGTTTTATATAAATCTAGGCTGTTTGCACAGATGAGCAAATATTACAGGATCGAGGAGGCGAGAAGTGGAGATGTGAACGGCTCTGCGGGACGCATGGTTTGATTTTTCACGGACAAGCGCGATGCTTTCCGAATGAAGCCGATGGCCAATGGTCTTCTAGCCGACATCAGCCGAACCCTTCCCGATAATCCCGATCTGTAACACCACAGAAGTCCCTTTCTTTGACGGGTTGGGAGCGAAGGGGGAGGAATCTAAGAGGGGGGGAAGAAAAAAATCACCATGTTTTAATCATCAAAGCTATTTTCGGATCTTTCCCGCTGGCACTGTAGATCTCGGATCCCCTCACCTGCATCGGTCACGACATCTCTTACGGTAATCGTCATAATTGTGTGTGCGGTGCGAGAATGAGAGCGAAAATCTTCAGCTTTTGGTGCGAGACGGGTTAAATTCTGCAGTTTTCCCGTAGAAGTGGTTTGTAACACTGTCCTACAGGACTGAATGTTTCAGATATGAGATCAGTAGCAGATGAATTAGGGCGTGGTGAAAATGTGCAGGCAGCGTCGATCTGGACAGACTGTAAAATACAGTTAGAAACCATGGCGTTTCTGCGTCTATTCCATAACATGATAAAAAAAAAGAATAACTTCTGTGTCTCTGGCGCTAGGCTTGAATGTTTTTAGTCTGTCCGGTTATGTAAAGGAAGTGAAAAATGTACTGATGACATTTTGATTAGGCCTAGTCGATGTATTTGAAACACATATCTATAAATAGTCTATATTAGTACTTATCTCGAGACGGCTTACTAGCGCTTTCTAGCATCATCTGTCTTTTATCAATATAGTTGTAAATGAACACGTGCTGAGTGGAAGATTTGTGTTTAAAGAGAGGCCTTTTTCTTCTGTTTCTGGCACCCAGCTGGAGTACTGAATGCTTTAATTCGTATAGCATTTAAGGAAGAATTACATGAAAGGAAGAGGATGAGCACATAGAGGTTGTCATTGTAGTATAATCGCTGAGTAAGATCCGGTAATTGCACAAAATAGAGACCTGGGGTTTTGCGCAGGGGTGGTCACACTTGTGTGTGTGTGTGTGTGTGTGTGTGTGGGTGTGTGGGTGGGTGTGTGTGTGGGTGCATGTGTTAGTTCCTGTATTCTGTATTTAGGTCTTTCTGAGGACCAAATGTTGTTGTTGTGCCAAGCCCAGCGTATGACATCACCCGTTCGTTTCCATCAGCAAGAGACTTCTGTTTGAAAGCCACTTAATAGCAACCCTCAATCACTTACATCATCTTAACAAATGCTCTGTCAGTTTGCTGTCCCTAAGAGCAACACTGTGCCTTTCCAGATTTTCTTGGATGTATTTAAAGCAGTATTTTCCATTGAAATGAGAATACATTCATATTTCAGTTGCCCTGAAGTTGTCTTTGAAAAAGTTACCACTTTCTTTGGACAGCTGTGAAATCTCAGGAGAATGCCCAGATAATAAAACAATAATCATAATAATTCTGTTGGCCTTCAAATTAACACTCTAGTAACACCCCTACTGTATTCTACAAATGAAAAGTGCATGGAGCAGGTAATCCAAGGACAGGGCTCTGTCACTGGATATTTTGCAACATTAGCCTTCAAAACACATTTAAAATGTTTAATCTCAGGTATCCTTAGAAGAGTCGTATATTCCTGTGCCTTGATCCATGTGCTGCAAACCTAATGGTTCTATATTTCAGCTCCCACTTCCAATATCGTATTGCACTGTCTGACCTAATACAGGTCATTTGTTTAGATTTGTTTTTTGATATTACTATAATGCTCTTTTATTTTGACAGAAATCCAGTCAAAATGGAATCAGTATGCATTGCTGTTCTCTGCACTCTCCTGTGTTCAGGTAACTGTTTTTCATATATAAAAATGTCAACAAAAATCAAAACTACACTATAAATGACAATAGTATGCTTTATTATTTTTACAATTTGTAACACAAATTGACTTATTTCAAGTCTTTTAAATAAGATAAATTAATTTGACTTATTTTAAACTGAAAATTAAGACATTTTAGAATTTAGAATATTTAAAAATTTAACCTTAGAAAGTAAAAAGTAAACTCATGTTCACTGTTACTTAGAAATATTAACTTCGGTATCAAAACGTACTAAATTTACCCCACCACCCACCTAAAAAAACAGTGTAACAGTTTACAGTGTCATCATGGGTTGTCAGATTTGTCATTGTGCTCAGTAACTGTTGTCTCACATATAAAAACATACAGTACAATACTGCAGTAACTGCATATTTTGTTTTAACAAATTGTAACCTAACTCTCTGTAGACTAGACTGTCCGTACACTCTTAAGGCTGATTTCAGTGACAAATCTGAACTGTCCTGGCCCTGGTTTTATATTAAAAATTGACATGAGATAGTGAGCCTGATATGGAGATATGGATCTAAGAAGGGGTACCACGACATGAAGTGAAGGGCACTCCTGACTGGAAAGCCCAGAAATGAGAAGGAAGACAGAATAAGGACCAAAACCAATTGAGGGGACTAAATCAAGTACTTGCTGAGGCTGAATGGGCAGGACTAGATAAGGATGGAAACATATTCACATAAAAGGACAATGTGAGAATCAAACCTAACCCAGTGTTGCCCCTGCTACATGAAGATGCTTCCACTCCACCACTCATGAGATGTGAACACTAACCAATCAATGACTTTGTTAGGCATCATAAGGTGAGGAGTAACTTCTGCAGTACTGTATACAAGTTCTATGCAAAAGAACAAACGGCAAAAGAAGGAACAGTAAAAAGGTTTGTTCACTAAATACACCAGTGTTTTTCTTTCCAAAATTCAAAATTGTTTGAAATTCTTTCACAGATAGTTCTTAAACAGTAAGTTAAAAGACACCAAAACAAAGATTACTTCTTTTCATTTGTTTATGTGTGTTTAGTACAACTGTCTGGTTTTATCAAAATACATTTTAACAACTTGTCTGAGCTCTCTAAAGTATGTTGACCCAAAAAGCAAGCTCTGAAGTGCTATTATACAAAAACATTTTTTCTAGGGATGCACAATTTTATCAGTATCATAATGGTGTTGGCAGATACACTATATTGCCAAAAGTATTCACTCACCCATCCAAATCACATTCAGGTGTTCCAATCACTTCCATGGCCACAGGTGTATAAAACCATGCACCTAGGCATGCAGACTGCTTCTACAAACATTTGTGAAAGAATGGGTCGCTCTCAGGAGCTCAGTGAATTCCAGCGTGGTACCGTGATAGGATGCCACCTGTGCAACAAGTCCAGTCGTGAAATTTCCTCGCTACTAAATATTCCACAGTCAACTGTCAGTGGTATTATAACAAAGTGGAAGCGATTGGGAATGACAGCAACTCAGCCACGAAGTGGTAGGCCATGTAAAATGACAGAGCGGGCTCAGCGGATGCTGAGGCGCATAGTGCGCAGAGGTCGCCAACTTTCTGCAGAGTCACTCGCTACAGACCTCCAAACTTCCTGTGGCCTTCAGATTAGCTCAAGAACAGTGCGTAGAGAGCTTCATGGAATGGGTTTCCGTTGCTGAGCAGCTGCATCCAAGCCTTACATCACCAACAATGCAAAGCGTTGAATGCAGTGGTGTAAAGCACGCAGCCACTGGACTCTAGAGCAGTGAAGACATGTTCTCTGAAGTGACAAATTACGCTTCTCCGTCTGGCAATCCCATGGATGAGTCAGGGTTTGGCGGTTGCCAGGAGAACGGTACTTGTCTGACTGCATTGTGCCAAGTGTAAAGTTTGGTGGAGGGGAGATTATGGTGTGGGGTTGTTTTTCAGGAGTTGGGCTTGGCCCCTTAGTTCCAGTGTGTATACCAAGAGATTTTGGACAATTTCATGCTCCCAACTTTGTGGGAAACATTTGGGGATGGCCCCTTCCTGTTCCAACATGACTGCGCACCAGTGCACAAAGCAAGGTCCATAAAGACATGGATGGGCAAGTTTGGTGTGGAAGAACTTGACTGGCCTGCACAGAGTCCTGACCTCAAACCGATAGAACACCTCTGGGATGAATTAGAACGGAGACTGCGAGCCAGGCCTTCTCGTCCAACATCAGTGTCTGACCTCACAAATGCGTTTCTGGAAGAATGGTCAAAAATTCCCATAAACACACTCCTAAACCTTGTGGAAAGCCTTCTTAGAAGAGTGGAAGCTGTTATAGCTGCAAAGGGTGGGCCGACATCATAAACCCTATGGATTAAGAATGGGATGTCAAATTCATATCCGTGTGAAGGCAGATGAGCAAATACTTTTGGCAATATAGTGTAATTGCATTTAATAATCCAATAACTGCAGAAAATCAGATTTTGTCAGTAATCCGATCAACGCATTTACATGCATTTGAGTAATCAGATAATGGGAAACTCCGGGTCTAGATGAGTCAGACAGGATTTCTGCTTTTTAAGGACACGTAAATGCACTTATTGTCAAAAGGAAATTTATTGGCACTGAACCAATGATTAGATTTCAGTGGTAATTTGATCTTACGTTTTATGATGCATTTACTATATTCTGGTACAAAAGAATGTTTAGGTAACACTGGCCAACTATTGCTAAATTGTCAACATTTTTTTTCATTTTATTCATTTTATTGCATCTGTAGCATACAAAGTTTCATCTGCCTTCAAAATATTATTAGCCTACTACTCAGTACATAGTACTCACTTTTTAGTTGCAAAAAGAGCATTTAAAGTAATTGAGACTAATTGTTACAATTTTTTTAAATAAAATGTCTGAGTAGGTGATTTGATATGGCTGAGTAATCATTTGTTTTAGGGGTAGCCTTCACTGTGCCCAGAAGGCAAAAGTACCTGGTGTTTCCTCAAAAGCGTTTCTCTTTTACTATAGTAGTACATTTACTTTTGTCAGCAAAAAAGAAATGATAATTTTAGAAATGAATAATCATGCCACCTGAAGTTCAAAAGGATTTGTTTTTTTCCAGAGTCCAAACACAGATGAATGTCCACACAGCTCGAATCAACATAAATATAATGAGGAAAAAGAAGAGGGCAATACTGAAAGTCAGTTACATGAAGATAGATCTCATATCAATAAAAACAAGAGGTTTTGCCTCCTTGTCAGAATGCTGCTACCTCGTCTCCTCCTTGTTTCTCTTCTGTATGTGTTGTTTACATATCAAAGCCAGCATGTTTGGCATCTGAAATTTGCTTCTTTAGTTTTGCACTGGAGCTACAATCTGTTAGCCTTACAGGTGCTGTGCAAAATGTAAGAAGCAAACTTCAGGCACCAAACATGCCTTGGTCAATTGACCATGTTAGAGATAAAGGGAGAACTGTATGTGATTTTTCGATGAACATTTTCTTTAATTACGTGTAATAACATTTCAGGTATGGCTTCTCATATCTAGGTCACCAACTCTAGTTCTTTATGGAAGAAAATAATCCTTGAGTAGAAAAAGAGCCATGAATATTGTCTCTGAGTAACATTGTTTTTGTTTCTTTTACAGTTTGGTCTGCAACTATAAAAGGTAAACGTAATTACAGCTTTGGCATTAAATGATTTAGATTTCAGTGGCACCATCATTTTTCATTATTCTGCAGAATACTTACAGGCTCAGAGGCTAAAATTTCAAATTATGTGGGTAATCTGTCTGAAGGCTGGTTTTGCACATAATATCTGAAATTATCATTGCAAACCTTAAAATTCCAAATTCAGTTGGCTTTTAAATTCCCTACATTCAATATAAAAAATGGACTTTCATATGATTTTATGTGTTGAACACCAAAGGAATTTTGTTTAGTGACTGTTATACACTGACGTGCCAAAAGTCATGGAACAGGAACTAGTATCTTGTAGGACCCCCTCTTGCCCGGTGAAGTGCAGCAACTCAACGTGGCATTGATTCCACTAGTGGACAGAAGACATCTGGAGGGACGTTTAGCCATGCCGTCTTGATAGCCACCCACAGCTCCGTGGTATTTGTAGTTGCAGGATCTTGGCTGCGAACGCACCTCTCCACCACATCCCATAAATGCTCGACTGGGCTCAGGTTGGGCAAATGTGCAGGCTACACCATTCATCAGAACTCTCCAGAATGCTGCTCTAACCAGTTCTGGGCAGCTTGGGCTCAATGGCATGGTACATTATCCTGTTGGAATATCCCATCATTGTCGAGGTACACGAAGTCTATGAACGGCTGCAAATGATCACTAAGCAGTGAAGCGTAGCAGTCACCGGTAAATTACATGTTTAGGTGGACCAGTGAACAGCCAACACCAGTATGGAACCACCACCAGCCTGCTCAGTGCCTTGTTGACAACTGGGACCAACAATCAGACCACGCCACATGTTGCCAGTCCTCCAGGGTCCAGTTAGCAACCCCACAAGCCCAGGTAAGATGCTGTGTCCGGTGTCATGGTGTTAACAGAGCTAAAGCTAAAGAACGCTGCACTGACCTGCGAGATATGCATGTGAAGCCCTCTGCATTGAATGTGGATGGGATTTTTGCCAGAGTCACTTGTCTGTTTATACGGACAATTCTAGCCAGACGCCGCCAGTCACAATCATTAAGCACCCATGGGTGGCCACTGCGCTGTCCACTGTGGGTGGTAATGCTTCTATTTGTCTGGCACCCACTATCATGCATCATTCGAACTCTGATAATTCACATCGCCTTGCCATGAGCACGCTGGCCAGTGTTCAACCTCACTCAGAAGATAGCACCTCACAACTTATACACGTGTGGGTGTTCCCAAGCAGTCCCCTGAGGTAACACATAATCAATTTACACACTGCTATCCCATGACTTTTGGCACATCAGTGTATATGACATGTGGCATTATCATACATCATCTTCTGTTTTCCTTATGCACTAATCTGCCTTTTTCTTACTATGTAGCAAAAGATGACCATCGTACTGCCTTTTTTGGGGAGGATATTCATATCCCTTTGCCAACACTGAACACTACAGAGGTGGTGTTTAAACCTCGAATGAACCCACTTTCTGAGATAGATTTCTTCCGGAATGAGCAAATACTGAACGCCAGAGCCAAGCTTAACAAAGATATACGCCATTTAGTTCTGGAGGATGTGGGTGAAGAGGATGAGGGCACATATGTAGTGAGGAACTCTGCAGCACCAGCCGATGTCACACGCATCATCCTGATAGTTAGAGGTATGAGTAATTATGAGCAACTGCTGCTAGACTACCCACAGGTAGTTCTTTATAGGGGAATTCTACTGGTTCTTTAAAATTTCTATATAATTAAATCATAGTGAAGTAAACAGAGTCATTTGAGGGTTTTGATGAGAAACGGTTCATTGTAGACTTACTGACTTGTATAGAAATGAGATTTCTATACAATAGTGGTGGAACCAGGGGTCAAAGATTGTTGTCCATTTCAAACTGTTCTTCAATAGTCAGGACCCCAGAGGACCATCAATGAGCAGGTATTATTTGGGTCGTGGATCATTCTCAGCACAGCACTGACACTGACGTGGTGGTGTTCTAGTGTGTATTATGCTGGTACGAGTGGATCAGACACAGCAGTGCTGTAGTTTTTAACTCGCTGTCCACTCTATTAGACACTCCTACCTTGTTGATCCACCTTGTAGATGTTAAGTCAGAGACGATAGCTCATCTGTTGCTGCGTAGTTTGTGTTTGTCATCCTCTATTCCTTCATTAATGTTCACAGTTCACTTTCTACAGGACACTGTTGGCTGGATATTTTTGGTTGGTGGGCTATTCTTAGTACAGCAGTAACGCTAAGGTGTTTAAAAACTCCACACAGCCCAACACACAATGACAGTGTCACTGCAGGGCTGAGAATGATCCACCACCCAAATAATACCTGCCCTGTAGTGATCCTGTGTGGGTCCCAACCATTGAAGAAAAGGGTAAAAGGGAGCTAATAAAGTATACAGAAAAAGAGAAGAGTAATTGTTTGTACAGAGTTTGTAATTGTAGAACTTCAAAGTGTACCTTTATGGTTTAAGTTGACCTGAGAAAATGGATAATCTGACTGTAGAAACAAGTAGGTGTACTTAATGAAGTGGCTGGTTGGTGTATAATTCTAAAGTTTTTTGCATTAATACAAAAAAATATTTTCAGATGTAGTAAGACACAGTTGATTTTATGTTGATCATTCTGCTGACAGTACGGTACTGTTGACCCTTACAGATTGCGCCTTGGAGACAACTGTGAAGTATGGTGAGACATATCATATCACAATTAATGACATTATTGGGCCTTACACCCTGGACTTCAGATCCAGCACAAGTCACATTAACCAGACAGTCGGGCCACCAGTTTTGGTTCTTCTAAACCAGAGCACAATCCCTATAGAGGGGTATAGGAGCCGCCTCAGTGCAAATGAGAAGAAGATTAACCTCCATTTGGTGACCGGAGCAGATGAGGGTAGCTACACTGTACTAGACAGTGATGGAAAAGTCAGAAAGAGGACCTGTCTGAATGTTAAAGGTGAGTAAAGACAGGCTGAGGTGGAAAAAGTAAAACTTTACAAACAAAAAAGGACCTAGTAATTAAAGATGAACGGACAAATGAACATTTATTGCATAATAGAACCATGAATCAATAGGATCCTTTTTCTTCCATTTTTCCCAAATTCCAGAGCACCAGATTTTCATGCACTTACAGTATGATGCAACTCTGAAGATCAAGCTATACATAAACCACAGCAAGGTCAATATAGTCTACACTCCAGACTCTGACCACAAGGACCGGATCATTCTTGATCAGGGTGAGCTGGTGGTGCCTTTGGACCCCTTGCTGGATGGAAGAGTGTCCGTAGAGGGTTCCATGTTCTACCTGAACAAGGTCAAAGTCAGTGACGTGGGCGTTTTCAGAGTGACTGACTTGACAGGTTTCCGCATAGCCGATGTCTATGTGAATGTGGAGCGTGAGTACAACGGCAAATGTTGTTGGATAAAATTAAATCATGTGGCGTGTTGATCTAATTCTTTTTTTAATATGATGTTTCTGGCCTTCTCCTTCACGTTTACTCTTCTCTTTCTCTTGGTTAATCATATCCTGTCTGCCCTGGTCTTCTCTCTTTCTCACTTCCTTGCCCTCAGCCTACAAGCTGCCTCAGCTGTATGTGGTGATCCTCTCTTTGGTGGGTCTGCTGGTTTTCCTGCTGTTGGTGTGCCTGCTCTCCTGTCAGATCAAGGTTCGGCATCGGGCAGCAAGAGCCAATAAGATTGCCCTCATTGCTCAGCAGGCTGGCAAGGGTGATGGAGAAGCCTTCAGACAGGTAAAACACATCACATTAAACTAACCTTAAGACCCACAAACTAAACATTGTTAACTTGGAAAGGGATAGATACATATTCTGATCTAGGGTCATGCAATTAAGATTGCTGAGATTTTGACCATTCTGCTACCCTTATCACACACAAACTTTGTAATTAGTCTTTTAATAATTGATACATTATTACAAGCAACACCAAAGCAATTATACAAGCTAGCATTTGAGGGTTCCAACTTTTATAGCATTCTAATAATGGACAGTACTATGCAAAAGTGAAAGACCACCCTTGATTTATTTCATTTCCATACAAGACGGCAATTATGTACATTATTAAATAAGTTATTCATTTTCAGCAATTTTTCAGTGTCTTTTCTATCTAAATATTTAATTTTTTCAATAACGGCTTCTTGACAGCTCCACATCCTTTCATTCTCATAGTGTTGAGTTGTCTTCTAATAGTGGAAGGACAGACAGAAACACTTGTGGATTTTTTTTAATCTGAAGCATGAGTGGACCTTGATTTTCCCATGTCTCATAAAGATGAAAGCTTTTGGTGGTCTACCAGATCTTGGATGGTCCCCTTTTTATGCAGTTGGATTATGTTATATTTAGTCTCCCTATTTTTTATTCATCTGAAAAAATTAATAACTTGTACTTAACAGCCATTTCGACTGGAAATTTTAAAATATAAATGAATAAAAATAAATACAGGTTGGTCTACAACTTGGTCTCGGTACTATGTGATAACACTGTAGCAAACCTCAACTCATTGTTCAAACATATTTATGTAATCTGTCTCCATCTTTGTTCCTGTATCTGAATGTAGCATATATTATACTCTGTATTGCACACTATTGGAATATAAAGTTTTTAGTGTCACATTTAACTCGTGCTAATTCCTTGAACTATAAAATAAGCTGTCCAATGACAAACAATGATTTGAAACAACAATTCTCTGTGAATTCAAGAGTACTTATTCCACTGTCTTACTGTGTACATCTGTCATGTTACTTGTAGTTCCTTGGCAGTCTAATCCCTCTTCACTCACCCAAGTGATCCAGCCCTGTCAATCACCAGTCCTCATGCATCAATAAACTGTCCATTGTCTGTTGTCTCTGTTGTAGTTTATGAGTGAAAAGATCTGACTTGTTATGCGATTGTTTTGTAATGAGCTCATCAGCGCTTTTGTTCTTTGGCAGAGGTTAGCTTAACCATTGATTTGCATTGTATTTTTCCCTTTTAAAGGAGCCTCAGATGAAACACCTTCTTGGTGAGCGTGCTTTGCGTTCTGGTGTTAATTTTTCCTTTTCCTAGTGCTAATTTGATGGATCTATATGAGGGTTTATACTAGCACAATAGGATGGTCAAGCAGGAGCCCAGGCTGCAAAGGCCTTGTGCCAACCATCTGTGACTGTCTGTGTGTAACATCCATCCCTCATTCCTCCCTCTGTTTTCCATCCAAGTCTATAGACACAAGTCTATAGGATCCCTGCAGTTAGAGCTCTAATCCAAATAGATATACAGAGTAGTCTTTTGGTTTATACTGTTGCTGAAACACACATGCACCTAGATGTTTCTTTTTCCAAATAATGAAGAGTTAAGTGTGGACCTATGTGTATGTGTGTGCATCTGTGGTTTCTTTTCACAATGGCTGTGTGAATGAGTGTGCTCAAAAAAGTGTTGGTAATGATTAATAGTTTATTAAGTCTGAGGATTACTAAGACTTAAAATGTCCTAAGTCTTCGTGAGTCATAAAAATTGTTGTCCTGGCTTATTCTGCATAATTCTGAACTAAATTACAGTTTAAGAGTTTTTTTTTTATTTATTCTTTATAGCTCAAGCTTATGCAGTAAAATCCCAATGCTCTGTAGCTATACAGGCACCTGTATATACATTTTAAGTAGTCTTTGTAGTATGCATACTAGAAGCTTATATGAAGTATATTTCTTCTTTGTGGATATCCATTTTTTAAAAATGGCCTTAATAACCCCTAACAATAAACCTAAAAGAGCATTTTTGTGCCAATGAAAGTTAAAGAAATGGATACTATTTGTTTTAGAAAACAATAGAAATTACATTAAATTTGATAATAGGTAATTAAGGATTTTGACAGAACTGCTAAAAGTAAGAATTTAACTTCAGCTGTGTTAAAAATACAGATGAGTGGCAATGGAAAATCACCATGAAGTGTCTTGGTAAAGTGTTGGGCAAGCAAACAGGGTGGAGAATGCCTTTTAATATGTCTGACAAAAATCTCCTACAGGTGTTCAGTTAGGTTGAGATCTTTCGACTGCAACAGCCGCAGTGTACAATTTAAATTTAAAATGATTTTCATACGCATCAAACCATTCAGTGATCTCTTTGTGCTATCCTGGAAGAGACCACTCATATCAGGATTGAAATGTGTCATTATAAGATAAAGATGATTTTATGTAACTTTATATTTACCTGCAATGATCCTTGTAGACCCAAACAATTCCAACACAATTCTCCCCACAGCCTAACGGAGGCACCAGACCTCCCTACTGTAATGGTCAAGCATTCAGGTCTGTACTGTTTTCTTGGTGTATGCGCTCTCCCACTTCTGGAGAATATGGTGAAGGATGACTCATCTGACCATACCACTTTTTTCCACATCTTTGTAGACATGTGCCTGCGCTTTCACATCATTGTACTCTGAATGTGCATTTGTAATTTTGTAACTTTGTAATAAGGGTTCATGCACTGCAGCTATACTATAATATCCCTATATAGTTGCATTTGGACTGTTCTCAGTAACCTGAGTAACAGGTACTCTTCTGTTTTTCCTTACATAATGCACTAATGTCTGAGCACCACAATCACTGAATGTTTGCTTTCAACCAATCTTTCCAACCCAATTAAATTATATCTTTCCCATTAATCTAAATGCAGATGTGACTTTAATCTAGGGGTGTTCGGTCTGGTCCTGGAAGGTTGCTACTCAATCACACCCACTAATCCTGGCAATTAACAGATGACTTGAATCAGGTGTGTTTGAGCAGGTAAATCACCATTATATGTTGAATACAGCCCCTCCAGGACCAGAGTTGAACAGCCCTGCTTTAATTACTGTTCCTTTCAAAGCAGTAGCCAGTTCAGCAGTTTTTGTGCCCCTCAATATTACATAGATCTTTTCCTCTAGCCATCTTGATTGGTAAACTGGGCTTGCTCAGCATTTTCATATATCTCACAGAGCATTGTAGGATGTTAACTGCTTAATTGTATTGTGTAGTAAACCCGTTTGAAAGTATCTGTACTTGTTATGTTTATCCACTCATTTATTCAGGTTTTTCCTTTAATTTGTCCCTCATCTGTATCTTAGAGCGCTGTTATTTAAACATATTCTTCCTTACTTTCAAAAATTTCAAAAAATGTATTAACTTACACCACTGTGTCTAGAGCACTAACTAAACAGATGATTTTTCATTTGTCATTAATATGTGTAAGCGTTTGTAAACAGAGCTGTATTTAAGTGTATGTTCGATATGTATAATAATAATTCAACACATGGCAGTTTATGAGGGAATCCACATCAAGCATAGGTTGTTTACGTTTATGGGGGTGGAAATAGAATTGTCTAAAATTAATCATTTACCACACGGTGAAAGAGTGTTGTGTCCATTTCCCTCTCTGTTGTGTTGTTGCTGTTTGTTACTTAGTTCTCCTGAAGACTTGATTAAATGTTTGTGTGTACGTGCATATGTGCAGATATATATTGTGACAGTGTGAGGATGGTATTGGATATATTATAACATTTCATTTCTCCCTTGAGAATGTTCGACAAGCTGCTCTCTCATTATGAAATGCCACTGATGATTTTGAAGAATTTATGCTGAAGAAGAAGACAGTTTCTTTACAACAAACAACCTAAACTAGTACCTATATTCTTACAGAAAGACTGAGGTTTAGTGATATCTTAACGTTTCCTCTGCCTGTTTCACAATGTTACAATATATCATGATTTAAGTGGCGCTATGTGTAAAGGAGCTTTTGTTGTGGTACACTGTGTGCTTTCCATCTGCAAATTTTTGGATAACCCCTGAGGTATTATTCCCAGCCAAACAGGGTTGGTTCATTTAAGTATTTCTGTTTGGCTTCCTTTGGTATCAGGTGGTTCATGAGGCCTATACCAGATTCACAGAGGAGTCCACTATGCAATCTATATTGGAGAACAACACTGAGAGCACAGAGGTTGAGATCAAGGTAACTAGCTTTTTTATGGTTCCATATTGTATCTGCAAAAGCTCATGAAGGTTTTTGTTGCTCTCCATCAGTTGTTCAATATACGTACAGGAGCGTAAAGTAAACAAAAATCTGAAAGAAAGTTAAACCAAAGAGTGTTGTTCAAACATTGCAAGATTTTTTTCAAGTCCACTTACCATAGGTGCATTTTGTAGTTCTGTAATTACAGATTGAAGTCCTTTTTTTTTTGCACAATTTCTCTGCCTTTCATCAATCCATACATCAGTGGTCAGGACCCCCACAGGACCACCACTGAGAAAGTATTATTGGGGTAGTAGATCATTCTCAGCTCTGCAACCAAAATTTTCCAGGCTGGAAACTGATTTCTAATGAAGGAATATGGGGTGACTAACAAACTATGCAGCAACAGATGAGCTATTGTTTCTAACTTTACATCTACAAAGTCTACCAACGAGGTAGAAGAATCTAATACAGTAGTCAGTAATACAGTGGACAGTAAGTGGACACAGTGTTTAAAAACTCCAGCAGCACTGCTGTGTCTGATTCACTCACCAGCACAACACCTACTAACATACCACCAACATGTCATTGTCACTGTATGGCTGAGAATGACCCACCATCCAAATAATACTTGCTCAACCCCCCTGGGGCTGATTTTCAATTTTAGAACTGTCATTAATTGTAGTATCTGTATAATAAAAGTATGGTAATGATAAAATAGAAAATGAGTGTACATTCAAGTTATGCGCACCTAATAAAGTTCCCACTGAGTAAACTGAGCAGATGTTTCAGCAACATATCAGGATGAGCTGCCATTTCCAAGATGGTCATACGATGGTACCTTTTCAACCTGATCTTTATTGTTTTGTTTTTATAGGGACTCGAAGTGTCTAAACCAGGACGTTACCACACTATTCCTTCAGAAAAGAACTTCCTGGAGAGTGACTCGGGTGCTGAATATAACTCCTTTGCACTCCCTTTGGACAATGATACTGATGCACTTCAGACCTGTGTGCCCCACAAGCTGCTCATTGACTCCGACAGCCTTGCCACCGCCCCCCGGACCATCTCCAAGGGCAACCACAGTGCCACCCGCACCCCTGATTCTGTTCTTAGTGCCAGCCCAGCTACTCAGCCCAGGTCTGAAGCCTATGCAGATGGCGACTTGATGGGATCCACCACCCCTGAAACGACCCTTAAAGCCCATGAGCTAGATGCTGTGCTACCTTCAGTCCCTGCGACCAGCCCAGTGCCAGAAACAAAACAAGATGCCCCACTGCTCACTAATAAAGCAGCCAAATTGGATCAAAGCAATGGTGCAGATGGTACCACAACCTGACAGTCTGTTCTCTGGCCAAAAGCAATGCTCAGAATATTTACCTTCACTAACCAGTGTGAGCCTGACTATTTCCTTCCCCACCCATGCCACCATATTTAGAACAAACTGCTGCTTACATTGCTAAGGCTTCTCAGTAACACTTCCTATGCATGGAGTCATCTGATTTTTCACAATGCTTCGACATATATTAGCATTAAAGCCTAACCCTAGAACAATAAGTTTTAGAGAAAATATTTGCTCCAAAAGGTGACATGCTGCATTAACTTTAAGAACTTTTTAGAATATGGATCATGTGATCCTGCACAATGCATGCATTTAAAATAGCCCAGGATTTTTAATGGTTAAGAGTCAAATACTAGTGTGGAATGACAGTGTTGTGCATGTTAGGCTGTCTGGAAAAACAGTCACACACTCAAAAGGAGAATATTTCTCTTTTTATCTTTTCCTTACACCATGGAGTTGAACCTTGATGTTAAATCTTAAAGCGACACAGTTCTATGTTTTGTCACAAAAGTACCTAAACTGGGACAACACTCTAAAGCACTTCTGTGCTCTGGAAATGGTAACCACAACATTGAAATTTTTCCTATCCCATTTGCTGTTGACATTACTATTTCTCACTTCAGGAAAATGGCCATTATTGCCACTTCAATGCAAAAATGATATCTTTGCAAGTTAAATTAGTGAGATTGTTTTCTATTTTGAGATTGTTTTCAAAATACTGTAGGGCTATTTAACTTGTTTTTAGACATTTTACTTGTTATAAGTGATTTCTTCAGAATAAGTGTCTCATTATATTGGCAGATAAATTTCAGCATTGTTTCATTAAACTAGTATAATTATATGTCAATAAACAGACGATTTCACTAGATAAAATTACTAACAGTAAAAAATGTCTAAATAGCTAGAAATGTCTATTCTTACAGCAATCTCAGAATGAGAAATATTAAGATACATTGACTGGATTTTAGTATTTTCACTTGCCAATATATTTTTTGCAGTGCTTAGTTTGCTTACCTTATATACACATCAGTTGAACTTACACAGATAAAAGTTTTCTACAATGAATGCCTAAAAAAGTCAAAGAAACAAAAGCACTTATTCATTTTAAAAGGATGACACACAGCTTAGTAACTTGAAAACCAGTGATTGAAGTTTTGACTCTCGATCTGTGATTACAATGTCTGTATTACACAAACATTGCACATGATAGAGCTTTGTGTTAAAATATATTTATTGATTTAAGATCTCTTTGTTGATGACACTCTGAAGAAAGGATCACCAGTCTTATCCACAAAGGGCCAGGTTGGCAGCAGGCTTTCATCCTAATGAAGCAGAAGCATGCCTTATTCACCTTTTTTAATCAGTTGGTCTCAGTCGTCAAACAACTGAATAGTCACATGAGGTGTTCTGACTGCTTGGTTTGAATGAAAACTTGCTGATATACCAGCCCTCTGTGGATAAGATTGGTGACCCCTGCTCTAATGGAATAGAAGTTCAACTTCTCAGTACCAAAAAAACCTTCATCAATGTCTTTCTAGTTTTATTTCAATTGATTGATTGTTGCTTATAGCAAAAAAGAGCCCCAGAGAAGCAGAACTGTGGAGTCCCTTTTTTGGCCTGCCTAATGAAGAGCAGCTACAGAGAATACAGGAGGAATCTGCCAGATTCTAACTGTTGGAATCTCTCCTCTGTGCACTATGCATGTCTCCGTGGTCTGGGTTTTTGCTTCAGATTTATTTTTTTCATCGTCATCCTATTGCTCCTTTCATGTCCTGCATTTAAAAGTGGAGATACTGTGAGAACTTCTGAGTATTGCAAGTTCACAACCAGAGCTGAAGTGCTTCTCATGTTATGACAACATATGTGCTGGATCCTTTATTTGGAACCTAAGAGACATGACCTGCATGATAAGGACAGTTTTTAATACATGTTGTTCATTGCTCTAGCATGTGAAAGTTGGCATCAAGAAAAGGATATAGAGGTTCTTCATTTGAGGTACACTTTTGCATAGAGATGGAGATGCATAATTTATCTGTGTTAAAGAGTTTGGTGCTCTGTTGTGATTATAAAAAGCATATGCCTGATCAGACTCTTTGGGGACAAGGGAAAAAAATAAGGACAGCTGGGTTTCTCCAAAATGTTTGCACTCTTATTGCACTGTTATTATTCTAAACAATTACTGGAAAAGAAGCATGTCCTGTAATTTAAAAAAGTTCAATTAAGTCAGATATGAAATTGATTCTAGGGTTACCTTGCCCTTTGCTCAATGATATACCTTCTAATCTTATTTCCCACAAATAGTAAATGAGATGTTATATAATAGTTAGCCAAGCTTGGATGTTATCTGCTACATTTGTTGTGACTGTCACTGAAAAGTGGAAGAGAGTGTTTAAAACCCTTCATTGCTCAGTCATAAAATATGTTCGCTTTTTTTTTAGTTTGAATTGGAACTAAACTGAACTCACTGAGAACTGTACAATTTTTTTGGCCACCTATACTAACAGCCATTTCATACAAGTGAACATACAATACGCCTCAGTGAAGTTATGTAACTGACATAAAAACTGGCATCTAAAGTACATTTTAAGTGTTGTCCAACTTAAACTCTTTTCCAGGCTACGTACACTAATAAAAAATAGCATTTTCCACCGCAGATTCAAAAACAAGAAAAAGTGGTGTTTTTGGTCATTTTACGTGAAGTCTAATTTGGCAATAACAAATCAATCAGCTATCTTGCTTATTAGTTTAATACTGTTGCGCTGACAAGAGATAATATAGTGCACTTTTCTGTGCAATTACACTGAATCACGTATGGAATCAAACAATATTATATTTTTGACTGTCGAGTGAAAATATGAGCAAACACACTTGTTCTGTGGAGACAGCGTTAACATTAGCTTTGTAACTAGCTTGTTTCACAAATAGTAAATAGTAAAATTAATGATACAATCATAACAGTAAAACAATAATAATAGTAAAAAGTAATAATTCTAAAAATAGCAATGAACACACCAACATATCATTCTAGTTTGTATGCTGGTGCTTTTTTTGGTCATGTCATAGTGGTAGATGGTTTTGTCTTCAACTGGAATAGTAAACAATTTGCTAAATTGTCATTGGCTTTAGCTGCAAGTGTTGCCAAAGACAGAGTAGAACAGTATTCGGTATTATTTAAATTGATGGCCAATGAAAAAGTAGTTTTATAGTGCCAAAGGTTCCAATACTTTGTGCAGTGGAAAACACTGAAATGGTCCTTTGAGCAGTGCCATAGAAGAACCACTTTTGGTTCCCTAAAGAACCATGTTTGGAAAGAAAATGTGATAATGTATCAATTTCAGGGTTCTTCTCTTCAGGGAACTTTTACATTGTATGGTGGTTCTTAAAACTTTAAAAAAAATCTCACTGAACCAACCGTGGTTCTTCTATGGCATCACACAAAGAACCCTTTTTGGCCCCCTTAATTTTAAGGGTGTAATCTTTAGTAACATATTTTGGCTCTTGTTCAGATCTTGTTCAGGTTAGATACAAAATCAGACTGATGGTATCCAATTCCCTCGCAGGTCAGTGCTCTTTGTGTCATCCAGGTGGCTAAGCCTGTTGGGAAAATTGCTACCTCACATTTCATTTCATGTCTGCAGGGATGTGGGGGAAGAACATGAGTGTAGAGTCAAAGAAAAGCACCATAATAATGGCAATAGTCTTTTAAAATGCAGCTAATATACTTATAATGATCTGCAAAAAACTAACAAGCAGGAATCAAAGTGTTTGTTTAGGCATACCTGCTTAGGTCACTGAGAATTATCTTTAGAAAGATAGTGTATGTTTAGTTAACACTGAGTAAATGTCTAAAAGGTACAATTTGATGTTTGAATTTGTTCATAGATGGCATTGTGAGGAGATATAGGGTCACTATAATGTATTGTTGTGTCATTACATAACAATATATGTAGGTGTTACTACATAATAATGTTGTATTATACAAGGGCCCAGAGATAATTCAAGCATTGTTTAAAAGATTGGCTCTCCTTGTCCAAAGTCAAATACAGGTGGTGTAGATATATATAAACATAAGAAACCTTTTCTATTATGCTGGCTGAATGAGAAATAACAAGGCTGTAGAAAGCAATATCGGTGCTCAGGCACTCCACACACACACACACAGACACACACACACACACACACACACAGCACAGGACAGATGCAAGTGTCAGTTTAAACACACAAAAGAACCCAAACAATTTTAAAGAAAGGTTCACTGACTCCTGTACATACATATATTGCATTTATATAGAAAACACTTCTTCTAAACCAATATTTTTTTATCCTTTGACTGCTGCATTCTCGTTGCTTCTGTTCTATGAATGAAATAAGAAATACCACTAGAACTTTATTTTAATTCAGCACTCTTGTTATTCTGTCTTTTTTCTAACAAGTATTATCTTTCATGCTTTCTTGTCTTGGAAACATTTAACTTTTATTGCTGCACTTGAGAATGTTATTGAAAAGAAATGCTGCACCAAATCTAATTGCTCATGCTAATTTTTTTTTTTTACATTCTCATTCTTCCCTTAGAGCTGCTGCAATAGATCTTCAATATATCCAGTTAAAATAGTTATTTAAGCATGCTGGCATATAGATGGCTTGTCTGACAGCAGAATCCACATATGCATTGATTTACTGGTCTTACTCTGACTTTATACTTTGTAGCAGATGGAGTATTCTTAAAGTCCATATAACTTTGGCGCAGAATGTGAAAATTCACTGAAAAAAAAAATGTCCAGCAATGAAGATTTGACAACTACAGACTGGTTCCTCTCCAAAAGGATAAAAATTCATACAAATTAGTTTAGTCTTGATCAACATAAGATATAGTTCTTGCGCTGAAAGCTTGTGTAGCGCAAGTCAAGAGATAATTTTCTCAAGAAATGCTACAATGGCTCCACCAGAAAGGGAAAAGTATGCACCGTTAGATCTTAGCCTGCTGGTGAGTGTATATGCATAATGAGTTGCAATATGGATTTGATTCAAGCCTCTGTTTCATCTTACTAGCTATATGCTGCTGTATGTAATTCTACAAGTTGCTCATTTTGTAAACATTTGTGTGACTTCAAGTAAGAGAAATAGAAACATTAAGTACAGGGGAGTAACACTGATTCTACAAAATGTCTGCATAAATAAAGATGTAAACAGTCATTCGGAACAATTTTATGTGGAATGGTGTATTTTAGAGCTTACTGTGTCAGTATGGCTCATGGTGGGAGTAATAGGAACCAGATGTCTGAAGAGTTTAATGCCTCTAAAAGTTACTTCATTGAAAGCTAATTCCTGAAATTGATGCAAATAGATTGCCTGATGCCTGAGACGTTGTTTTTCTCTAGTTTTGCGAAAAAGTTTTATCCTAAAACAAGCCGCTCATAGCAGAGAAGTAAATGTAAGGCACTGTAAGGCAAAATGGTATCCAGAAAAAAAAAACAGATTTACCACTATTTTACCATGATCAACATTACATATAAAAAGGAAAAGATATGTGTAAGTTCACTGATCATTTTGGATAGCAAGTAAAATGGCTATATTTGCAAGGCCTGGTTCCTATCACCACCATTTAATGAAATGGGAGTTGGTTAGTATCTGACTCAACCATTAAATTGTCATTTTTAAAAATTGGTGGAATTCTCCTTTAACAAAATAAGAGAAAAGATAATGTTAGGTTAACCAACATAACCCTAACCCTAACCAACATTGCACTACAGCACATGTTTCTGGCATTGAACATACAGTGTCTCTTGAACAGCTTTGACACAGTATTTGTGAATAGCTTGAAACGACAATGGGAAATGTATTTCAAGATTTCAGTGGTGTGTACTGAATATCTAAGTAGCTAAGTTGTACTAGGAGAGGACTATGCAGAATTCACAAAAAAATAAGAAAAAAAGATGAAATCTTCTGCATTCTACCAGGGGTGGGCACCTGTGGTTTTCTTTGGCAGGATGATTTTTTTTATTTGTTTAGAATTCAGTATCATTGACTTGAACAGTACTTCACCATCATACAAGGGAAACACAGAGTGGAGGTGACAGTTGTTATGCAACAATACATTTACTGCAATGAATGTGTTGAATTCACAATTCAATAAGAGGCCACTATAAAGGCAATCTCTGCATTTATGTTCATGCACAGACTTTTGAATAACATTAACATAATAAAAATGAAATAAATGTAACTTAAAATACACCTGTTTATCTAAAGGGTAACACTTTTATGGAGTAATATCAATATCACAACAATGCACAACAATGTGCTTAGTCATGGAATACTTCATCATTGTATCGATTCATATGACCAGGGCTGCCCAAAGTGGGGCCAATGGGCCAAAGTGGCTCAAACCTCTCTTTATTTCTCAGAATTAAACAAGCTCTTTTTGTTACTCCGTCTTTAAGACTGTTGTATATAAATGACCTCATAGAAAATGCTGAAACACTTCTTATAGCTACAATGTGAATGTGTACATTATTGTTATACTACAATATTAATTCCTAAAGAACCACAAAGTTTAATATTTCTCCAGCATATGCCATAGCTCAATAAGGGCTTTACATTTGACTTATTTCTCAAAAAAATAAAAATAAAAAAAGAAAAATAAAAAGCAGCTATTTCCATAAGCCTAGAATTTTTCTCTATTACAACTAGTATCTCCGCTAGTTACATTACTGAATTAATTCTAAAATTTCATTCCTGGGATTTATTGCCTCAAAAAAGTTGAACATTTAAGTTAATGTATAAAAATATACAAATTTCAATAGCAATAGCCCCCCTTTAGCATATTTCCACACAAATATTATATATCTAGATTTTCATTCTAAAGACAAATTTTTTTTTTGTGGAGTTTCATTGAGTCCTTAAAACAATACCCTGCTGTTGCTGACAGGTCCTGTGTCAAGAGAGTCGGAAGTGGCGTTAAATCTCGCGCAAGGAAACTCGTCCCGGCGCGCCAAATTTCAAAGCACTTCCTGGGAAAAGAACGCGAAAAGTTAACAACGGAGAAAAATAAGAGCCATATATTGACATTTGCAACAATGCTGCTGTGACATATAGGGTACGTTGTGCTTCGTTAAGCGTCTTGGTCTTATGCTGGTACATTAAAACAAGAATTTGCATTACCATTAGACATTTTATTTTAAGTTTTGCGTGAATGTGTAGGCTGATGGCTTACAGATAGCAAGGAGGCTAACGCAGTACTGAGTCGCCTCTCGCCGTATTTCCTTCTGTTTTGCAATCCTGTCTTTAGTTAAGGTAAAGAGTAAGAATGGTTATGGTTTCAAACATTTTCGAATACGCTTTTGTTTAAAGACGAATATTTTTTTATTGCGTTATTTAACAAGGATGTTCGCTTGCTGAACTTTGATGTTTGGACAATTCAACTAGCTTGCTAACTTAGCACTTGGTGCTAAACCAGGCTGCTGTGCTTTGTAACCTAGCTATAGCTCCAGCGCTAGCTAGCTTAGCTATAGTTATATGGGTCAGCTGGAGAACACTGACGTACAGCCGTTTAAGTATATAACCCTAGCTAACGACATAATGCGAAATTGTATTCTTTTGTGTGGAGTTACAGCAGGTTGTGTATTTTGTGTTTGTTTTATATGTTTGAATTATCATCCAGGCAAAGTGTAACAACAGCTTTGAGTTTATTTAATATTGACATATCTTAACAATTCGCTACATCTATACTCACTCTAATTCATATTGAGAAACGTAAAACTATGATATGTACGTTTTTTACTTTCAGAATGAAGATCATCTGGGTGTGACCTCGCCCTACCACCACCAGCCTTGCTAGCACACACCCTGTTATGTGCTCGGCTGTCAGTTCATTCATCTAAAGCTAAACAATCATACTACAACGACACACGTCACGGGTAGTTCGTGCAGTGTGATCGCTCAGCATGCTAATAACTCAGTGTGTCAACATTGTACAGATCCTTTCTATTGCCGACTGTAAATCTTTATACGTGCTTTCTTAATTTGCATATTTCATTAAGTGTACATATTATGGAGAAGAAAACGTGAAATGGAGGGTTATAATTCTCTGTGAGTCTCCCTCTGTTGCTGAGTGTAGCTTAGGCTTTTTTCCTTGCCAGTATGTTGTCTGGAGTCCAGCCGTGTTTTCAGCTGTTGAGGATCGGCTCATCAGATATTGCTAACTGCAACGCCGGCGGTGTGTCAGACTCTGCCCGTGACCTGTACACATTTCGCCCAGCGCTTCCCCAGTCAGTGTTCCGCTTGGGACGGGCGGCAGAGTTGTGCGATGTCACCTTGGAGTCGACTACTGTGTCCCGCATCCATGCTGAACTGCATGCTGAAAGACAGACTGATGTGCCAGGAGAGGAGAGCTGGAAAGTCCATGTGAAGGACCGGAGCAGTTATGGTTTGTATCAGATATATGAATATTTTGTCTCTGTCTGTCTGTCTGTTTATTTACTTTCGTATCATCAGTTTACAGTATTTAATGTCTGATAATAAGTACATGTGATCTTACTTTGTTTGACAGGTACATGGGTGAATGATATTCGAATGCAGCAGGGTGTTTTGATGGAGATCTTTGATGGTGATACACTAATCTTTGGCGGCCAATCAGCGCAAGGGAGCCCAGAATTTTATTTCCTCTTCCAGAAGGTTCGGGTCCGTCCTGAGAACTTTAATGCCATAACAGTTCCAAAGGCTAGCTCATTTTCCTCTGACATTCAGAACCGCATCAGAACCAGCCTGGATTGTAAACCGGATCCCAATCTTGACATTTCTAAACTGTCCATCAACAGAGCCACGGTCATCCTTAATTCCATTGGCAGTCTGAGCAAGATGAATGGCAGCTGCTGGACATTTAAGAAGATTGACAAAACCACTGACCTGAATTCCACCAAACCTCCCACATTTACAGCTTTGGTGCCACCCTCCACTCCACCACCTCTCTCTGCTGTTACTTTGGAGACCTCCTCGAAGTCTGTTCCACCATCGTCTAAGAGTCGACGCAAGTCAGCCCACACAGTGCTCTTGGAAGATGATAGTTCAGATGATCCCGTCAGTCGTAGAAGTGGATTGGAGGATGCCAGGAAAGCCAGAGGGGGAAAGAGACGGCGTCTTTACAAGTCAGAATCGGAGGTATTCCAGCATCCGTTGTCCAAAACAGAACTGAGCACGAGGCCACAGTTTGATGCCAGACCTGTGATGTCCAAGCAAAACGGCATCATTTACAGTCAGTCGACCAGTGGGAAGCTTAATCCTTCTTTTACTTTGATCCAAAAGCGTGATGTTGGAAACATGGGCCACAACAAAGGCATTAATCTTGTGGCCTACCGACAGCAGAAGCCTTGCACACCAGCTCCACGGGGCAGGCGAAGGGCAAACAGCTCTCCAGTGTTCTCCCCCCAGGTGGTGAGAGGTGAAAATTATCACCTTACCTCTTCGTCAGTTAGACAGTCAAAAGTGGAAAGAGAGAGGGGCCAGGTTGCACAGTTCAGCGCCACCACTGGGTAAGTCAGTTCTGCATGATGTTACCGGAAAACATTGCCTGCTCATCCTTTGTTTGTTAAGCTCTTTGGGATGAATTCAACTGGAATGAATGTGGACTATCAACATAATCAAATATGAAACTTTAAGACAAGTTTGCTTGTGATTTAATTTGCTATGTTCAACAAATTTCCTTGCTTTCATGCTAAACTAAATGTGCAGTAGGATCATTCCTGTTAAGATAATTTAGTGCTTATACTTATTGTCATTCTTTTTGGCTTATTGAATATCTAAAAATCTGATTATCTGAAATCTATATAATCTTCTCTTCTGCAGTAGACGACGTGGCAGACCTAGAAAACATCCCCTGCCACGCCCTTCCCTGCCATCCCCTTCATCCTCGTCCTCGTCTTCTAGCTCTTCTTCATCTTCATCCTCCTCCTCCTCTTCAGAGGATGATGATGACGAAGATGAAGACATGGGGGTTGTCCAGGGTGTAGAGCCATGTGCGGCAACACGTTGTCGTCTACCACAGCAGGACACTGTGCAGTGGGTGCAGTGTGATGACTGTGATGCCTGGTACCACCTGGACTGCCTGCCTTATGACCGTACCCGCGCCTCCCTCCTGCTTGACCCGAGCGCAGACTTCCATTGTGGCTGCTGCTGAACCTCCGGCACTCTGTCATAACTCATGCAGGGCTCACTTGGTTCCCTTCTGGATTGCGGCATCAGGACATCAGGAGCTCTGACAGAAGGCTTGCTACTACAAGATACATAATTCAACAGTCAACCAAAAAAAGAACACAGAATCCTTTTTGAATCTCCGTTACCTTCACAGATTTTCAAACTCATAAGTCCCGGCATAATGAAATGGGTGAATGGGTTTTATTGGTTAATGTGTTGTAAAGGCACAAATAGGGAAGTTTATATTCTTTTTTTGTACAAAAGTGTGTGCTGGACTAGCACTTCAGCTTTGCAGGTGGTTTGTGTTTCAAAACTGCACAACCCACACTTGCCCAAGAGTTCTCCTGGAATTTGAAAGTGGGCACTACTTGGAACACATTTTCAAGGAATTTCTTGAATTGCCCTGTTCTGGAAAATAACCTGCCTTACAGTGATAATGACAAAAAAGATCTTAAATTTATTGCAAGAAAAATGACAAACTGTTTGTTCTCCAAGGCATCATTCTTATTTTGCTAGAAGTGGTGATTCTAAATGTGTAGGTATCCTGTTTGTATTGATTGAGAGATGTGTTGTATTACATTTTAGGTTGAAAGCCAAGAAACAATCTTGTGTAGAAATGGACATATACTTGACAAACTTAAATATTCTTACAGTGGTATCTTACAGTAAAAACAAATGTGTTTAGTTAATGTGGCTAATTTTCATAGCAAAATTTTCAGCATGGTTTCAACATTGGTGGATTTCCAGGTCCTGAAAAGTTGAGTACTTAACAGCATTACATCTACACATATGAACCAATTAAGTTGCTGTTAAGAAGCATTTGCCTTTGAAACTGTATTAGGTTGAATTATGTTTGTCACTCGGTGGGTTCTAGTGCACTGGGAAGTTGTGTTGGTGATTGCTGAACCATGAGGAACTGTCACCTAGCTTAAACAACCCTATACCTGATTCAGTGCAAAGGCTACCTTTCTGCCTTCAACAGAGTCTTGCTAGCTGTTCTTGAGATGTTCATTCATTGTTAAAGTTGCAGCTTGCTTTCAAGACATCAACTGCTAAAATATATATGTGCATTTACTGTGCTCTCTTTTAGTAAGCTGAGAGCTGGTTCTGGGGATCTTCATAGTGCTGTTTCAACAAATCTCCACTGGGGTTTTAAGACATACTCCAGTCAGTCACTTAAGACTATATACAGAAAGCAAAAAGGTTTTGATAACTAAGTTAGAAGAAAGAAATTTAAAATGCCAAAAAGTCGTATTATGTGTAAAAGTCTGAGTTTGTGACTTCTTTACATACCCAAATGTACGTGGTATTTTTTTTCCTTTGATATTAACATAAGCTTTTGAGTTTGAGCTCTACTAACCTTGAGTAGATGGCCATTTAATAGTAGAATATGTGGTATGAACATGAATCATCTATCACTGTCTTCACTTTAACGCTTTAGCTAAGAGAAATGACTGTCTGCAGTTCAGTCACAATGTTGCTGTTTTGTCATGAGGGGAAACGGGATGAATAAAAAGATATAAAGGTAAAATCTATGAGATTCATTTCTTACAAAATGATGGGTTCTACTGCAAAACAACTGCAAAGGCAGAAAGTACTCCATAAAAAGATATGTATTAGGGACTGAGAGTTAGGGATGAAACAAGGGTTTAAAAAACAAACAAACAAAAAACATCTGCACACTTCTCCCAGTGTTTTAGTTTTACAGAACCTGGGTAATGATCCCCGGTGATACCATTGCATCTTAATAGGCAATTTCTGCCAGGCAGCTACTGTCATGCTAGTAGACTGAAACCAGTTATCCTTTGATCATTACCACTTTTGTGACCTGCATTTTATTTATATTTCTGTAAATAGTTGGATTGTAACTATAACACTGGATTTGTAAATTTTCCCTATGGTATTTGTAAAATGTCGCTTTACTGCATTTCTAAGTTCCAGTCAAGTCCATGACCCAAATGTCTATCATGCACTGTCATGTCACATCAAGTATATTCTTTACAGAATATCCTGGGAGCCATTTCTAACACCTCTCAGGGTTCTGGCCAGAGGAGGTATGCACCTATTTCTCTGACTACACAGAATCTTATTTGGGAGGCTTGATTTTTTTTCCAGAGAAATCTGCAGGGATGTTTTTACATACTTTCAAAGTCCAGTCTTAGACATTGGTTGCATTTTCTGCTTCTCATGATCCAAGTAAAACTGAGTTCTCTCACAGTGGAAAGATAGACAGAAACACCTGTGGACTTTTTCAAATCTGAAGCAAGAGTGGAGCTTGATTTTCTTTCTCTCAAAAATGCAAGCTTTAAGGACTGCTGAACTAAAGGTGGCAGTTTTGGTGGCCTATCAGATCTTGCATGAGTCCCATTTTCTCAACACCTTTATGTATGTTAATATAATACGATTTTATTTTGGAGCATTTCAGTCCATTTGTCATAAACTGTTACATAAATATATGTAGCCTAACAACAAAGCAGAAGCCCATGAACCACGATTTTAATATCCAGTATGGTACCGAGAAGTACTCAAATACCCAGATGTTCCAAATAACAGTAGTTGTATATGAAGTCACTTAAGCATGGCGCAGAGCCACAAGACACACAGTACAAACATTCTAAATGGCTCTAAACATTTAAACTCAAATTTCTAGGTTAGTGACATCATTAAACCTGTCTATTATAGTATGATTTTCCAGGCATCTAAGGACATGTGCACTGGTGTCTGATAGGAGGTGCAGAATTGCGTGCCATTGGGTTGGGGTCCTCAGGTCGGCCTGACACACTCGGTGTGTGTTATCAAGTGCAAATGGACAGAGAGGACAGAGGTGTGGAATTATGAGGTGCTCCTAGCCAGGGCAATAGGCTGCAGTGGCCATCTATGTTGCTATGGCTACACTTTTGGCAGCCAGTGGGAGTGTAGTAGGGGTTGGAGTCAGGTTAGGGATCTACATAAGAGAGAGAAATGGAGTGCATGAAGGAGGTTATAGGAATGTAGAAGAGATGGGTTTTTGTTCGTCTACATGAAGGCATAAAGAGAATACACAGTGGGCTAGAGATACGTTAGTCATAGTTTGAAATTATTCTCTCTTACATGTCGACCACCAGAGGGCAGTCATGCTTTATTGTAACTAATAAGGTACTGACAATTCCCTGTATTTTCAGACCATGTCACGTTGTGGGCCGTGTTTAAATATCAATTCATACATGTCTGAATGCAAGAAATATGTTTATGAATATCAAATCGATTCTGTTCCACTTTGCAATTTTTAACGTTGTATAGGTAGCTTTTAAAATTGTTTTTTGGAACACATCGTGAATTAGCACGTCATAAGGCATAGGCTAGTCCAGGGCCGTTTGATCTAAGATTCATGGAAAACACTGAATTGAATGAAAGGAAACAGCCCAGTGGCATGGCACTAGGCCAAATTCAGATGAGTTGAACCGATCGAAACGGAACTGCATTAAATTGTCACCGTGATGTAAGCTTAATGCTCCCTCTGACTTTTCCCCGCTCCTAGTCCGTCAGAAAACGGCACGGTATGGCTGGAGGCTGATGATGACGAGTTTTACCAGGCGACTAATCGATCACAGTGCATGGAGGATGGTACTGCTTTACTGCTTTTGCCATTCCACTTCCCCCTCCAACACTATACAGGACTCATTTCCTTCTGACCTGAATGTAAGCCCTTGCTGGTGGACTGCCAAGGGACAGCAGGAAAAACAAACTTAACTTCGTGCTTCAACCAAAGCACAGGGCGACCATATGGGCACGGCCTATTTGTCTAATCAGACACTGAATTAAACATTAGTTGGACTTGTAACATGTTAAATTAATGATGTGTGTGAAAATGGTTTTGTGCCATCAGCATGGTCCAACTCAGCCTAGCCTCGTTGCAGTTAGCCACAGTTTGCTAATGTAATCTTTTCACAGTGGTTAAACCAGAACTTAGTGAGCTGGATATTGGTCTAGTTCTGTGCGGTTGCATGGGTTGTACTTTAATCATGTGCAATAGTTGTACTGTAAATCATGTACAGTACCATTCAGAACTAATGGCCCCTTGGTAAAGATGCACCTAAACAAGCTAGGGATGCACCGGGATATCTCGTGACACTGATATGAATCTCATATCATCATGCACCCTAGGGGTGGGGGAAAAATCGATTCTTAGATGCATCGCAATGCGGACATGGACGATTCTGAATCGATTCATTCAATGTCAAAAATCCATTTTCTAAATATTTAATTTATAACGTAATGTTGATGGAGCGCAAAAGGGCAGAACTTGGAAGTGGGTAAGTGCAGCCGGACAGTCTGTGGCAGCACATAACAAAAACACAAAGGGATGAGCAAGAAATCCGACCGGCTCCCTCTGCATTAAAAGCCAGGTTAGATCAGGAGTCACAATCCAAATGTGAAGAAGAGACATTTTGTCCTTTCAATAACAATCAAACCACCTTGGGAGCCACAACATTTAATGTCCAGTATGTCTCAGTATGTGTTAATGTCCTAGTATAGACTAAACAATATAAACGAAAACGCAGACTTACTCTACTCTGCTTTTAGCTTTAGCTATAGCTGCTTTTCTTCCATCTCCGCCAGAAAACTTTTCCTCAAAAGTTGAATAGTTTCTTGTAAAATGTCTTTCAGCTTTCGGCTGTTTTACGAGGCTGAAGTCGCTTCTCATTCGCCAGCTTCTTGCTGAACTTTCCCATTCCACCTTAAATTCTGACTGAGGCGCCAAAGGTAAATGCGGCACCATTTAAGGTGGAACGGAAAAATTAGAAAGAGAAGCAACTTCATCTTTGCAACTTTTTAGTGTTTGACAGTCTCTCGTTGCAGATTTAACGTATCAGGAAACCAACTACGTTGCTTCTAAATGCGAATAAGTCCGTTCGTCTCCAAATGTTCGTCTGTCTTTTCTCTTTTCCTTTTTCGTTCGCTACTAGCCAGGCGAAACCTCATTGCTAGGTGACCTGCAGTCTGCATGCCAATTCTCAGTCGTTGAGAAACAGGGCTTGTTGCAAAACTCTGCAAAACGTGTGCTATGTTGCACACGTCCCGTCTCGAAGATATTTTACTGACACAGCGACCCCCCCACGAGACCAAAACCGAAGTTATAAAATCACTAAAGAAAATGGGTAGGACGGCTATAATGTGCTGAGTGGTCATCCATTACCACAGGATCTTATTTCACCATAACAGTGCATTTTATCACAGATGAGTGGCAGCAGCGTTTCCAAACAAGAGCAGTGAATGAGAGCCTTCCAGTTCACTGGCCACATCACTTCCATTTGTTTTATTAATAAAAGATATTGGACATAAATGCATTATGGATCATTACAAATACTTAGCTTAAAAGTACCAAGTCCTCAGACAGTAAGAAAATAGAAATCATGTATAGAAAAAAAAAGATGCATCGAGATGCATCGATAATCGTTTTATAATCGCATCGCAGCCCTCTGAATCGTAATCGAATTGAATCGTGAGGTGAATAAAATTATTCAAAGAAAATAATCCTTATAAATCTTAATCTGGAGAGATTTTGTATGGTCTCAGATCCCTTTATATACATGTTCTTGCTTCATTCATCCTTATTAAGAGAAGACTCATTGCTGTTACCTTGGCAAAGGGAAGACGCATAATGTATTAAATGCAGGCATACTAATAACTGTGACGTTTTTTAGAAAAAAGGATATTTTTTTCTCTAAATAATTTTAATTCGCTAAAAAGTTAGATTGCTGTCATATTTTCAGTGTAAGTGTGGCATTTTCAAAGCCTTTTCTGCTCACATCTACCAAGGTTGTGAGTAATTCTAGAGAGCTCTGTAACCCACTGATTGTCCATCTGCACTTTTTAATTCTTAATTATTTGAATGCCGCTACAAGACTGCAACCTTTTTCATATAGTTCACAGGTGACAATGAAAAAACTAGTGTTCAGGAATTGGTATCGTAGTCAAAGTACAAGTATCGTGACCCTAAAGGAGGAAATCTTTTCAATGAGCAAACACACATCTGCAGTGCCAGCTAAAATGGGGGAATTCCTCTGATTTTTCAAAATTGCTGCATAATTAAATCTTCAAGTTGTTAACAAAGTCATTCAGAGTAGTTAGATATGAAATAGTTATTTGTAGAAAAACTTACCGACTTAGATTTCTTTACAGTGATGAAAGACCAGGGAATCTACACGTCTTCCAAGTTTTTATATGTAACATTGATGTTTTTTTTTTAATTATTATTATAAGAATATGTTAAAACTTCATCTCACAACTAATGTAAAACAATGTCTCAGGCATCAGGTAGCATATTTGTGTCTAGTGTAATCCTTCTGGGATGAACTTAATGGGAATAGCAAGTTATCAGTTAACTGTCAAAGCTAGTGAATTAGAAGTTTCAAAATGTGCACAGTGTAGGCACTAGTGAAGTGAGGAAGCAGTCAGTGCT